GAAAAAATAACGAAAGCACACGCTACAATCAGAACTGGCACAATGAAGTAAAGAACAGCCGTCTTTCCACCAACTGGAATAAAATAAGCGTCTGAATATGCAGTAGGACTCTTGTTCCTACTGGTAGTCTTCCACGGGGGGGGGGGAGACTATCTGTCAGAATGTATTTGATAGGACATTAGGAGGTTTGTTCCAGCCATCTGCTCAAAAAGGGACACCTTCTTGTGATGATTGTTACAGGGTGGGGGGAAAAGGCTCACAATGCAATCCTAAACAGTGTTGTGCACTTTGAAGTCCTCTGACTCAGAACTGTGTAGCTGTGGGTGTTTCCATGTTCTCTTTTTCCTTTCTGGGGTGGTGTTCCTGTTGGTTCTGGCTTTCCCCCCTGTTCTGCACACATTTGGCTCCCTCAAGTGGTAGACTGGATATTACACCTCGTTGTGTCTGGCATATCTCCCAGGCCCATTTAAATGGTAGGTTTTTATGCTGGACATAAAGCGACGTAATATCGATCCAACCACTAGAGGGAGTAAAACATGTGCGGAACAGAAAAGAATCCTCAGAGCAACAAGAACTAACCAGTGAGGAAAATCAGAATGCAGAAAGGCCCTGTATTTAGGACTGCACTGTGGACTCCCTACATTTGCGCGGAGCATCAGCTGTCTCCAAGACTGAGTCAGATGTTGTATTGCAACCATACGGTCAGCTGGATTCAAGTGTGTGGTCTGTTCATAAAATCATAGAATCACAGTGTTGGAAGGAGCCATACAGGACATCTAGACCAACCCCCTGCTCAATGCAGGATCAGCCTAGAGCATCCCTGACAAGTGTTCGTCCAGCCGCTGCTTAAAGACTGCCAGTTACGGGGAGCTCACCCACCTCCCTTGCTTTTATTTGTTTATTTGGGATACTTTAAGATGCCTTTATCTAGCAAAGGGTCTAGGTGGGTTGAAATGTTCTATACAGATACCACAAACTACAGAATAAACCAGCACAACACAGATCTTACAGTCTTAAGAGGCCCTCTAGGTTCAGCCTCCTACATGAGTAGGGTTGTTATGTGATCATCCCAGGTCTCCAGCCCCCAGAAGAACTTGCCTGCCCAGCACTCCAAAAAATCACACACAAAAAAAATCACCACTGGCCACACAGTTTTCGGTGATTCCTAGAGTGAACCGATTTCACTTCTGGGGGAAAACCTCAGTTTTACCACAGAGTTTTTGGTGATTCCTAGAGAGGTTGCCCCCCCTCATGTCCCTGCCCTACCCAGTCTCCTACTGGTTGTGAGGCTGACCTATTTCTGGATATCCCCTCAGCGTCTAATGCAGTTTGCCACATTGCTGTTCAAGAAGTACTAGCTCACAGAAGGTCGCCTTGAGAATGCAAAAACGGGTCATGGTAGTATTGTCAGGACGCTGCCCCACACCCTTGTTGTCCCCGCCGGTCGCCGTGGTTCTCCCAGCAGACCGGTTCTCCTCCCCCAGGCCCTGGTACACGGAGGTCTCAGAGGGGTTGCTTCACCATCCTCCCCCTCCTCCCCGACGGGTTCATGGCCACTCATCTTTCTCTCTTGCTTCTAGTTTCTCCAGCTCTCCAGTCCTCTCCTCCTCCTCGACCTCCTTTCTGTGCACCTTATATGCCTCCCTGCTCCCACCTCCCACACCTAGCCCCTCCCCCTGCATAAATTCCTGACACCAACCCCCCCCCCGGGCCGAGTGGGGCCGTGCTACGCCATCGCGTCGAGGAGCCGGGCTGGCCTTGGTGGTGGCAGCAGCACCCTTCTCTCCCTGAGGCTTACTATCCTCCACACAGGAGTGCCCGAGCGGCAGCCACGGGGAACTGGCTGAGCACGAGCGGTTCTCTGCCGCACCGTTGGGGCCAAGGCCTTCTTGAGGGGGCTGGCCTCTGGACAGGTGCCTCTCCCCTGCCGAGGCCTCAGGGAGCACCCTGCCACTTCCCCAGGTGAATGCCAGGGAGTTGCTCTTGTGGGGGTAGACCGTCGGCAGGTGTTCCGGGGGGGGGGGTGACAGCCAGGACGCCAGGACAAATAATATGACAAAGAGTTACCAGGGCTGGGGGGAATGAGTTGCAGCATTGAACTCAGCATAGAGGAGAAGCCTAGTTCCTGAAGCCCTGAGTCAGTGACTTGCGTGCTTTCTCCTCAGAGGACAAAGTGGAAAAGAAAACAGCGTTCACGCCTGACCACCTGAAACAAAACCAGCATAGCTTCACGAACTTCAGTGGGTACAACAGTTCAAGTCCTTCCTAGCCCATCAGAGTAAGATCTTCTTTCGGTTGACAGAGATACAGAGGAAAGGGAAGAAAACGGGGAGGCCGAGAGATTCTCCCTCCATTTCTTGCTATCTCTTGTTCTGAACAAACTAAGGCATCGTCTCGTGGTCCACAGACTGAAAAAAGAGAGAATATACCGGCAGATAGAGGGGAGGGAGAAGGAACTTAGCGGGGGTGGGTGGGTGAATGAAGGCCTCCGGAAGGCAGGATGTGAAAAATGATCTGATTTCCTTCCCATTAAAGAACGGGCCCCTGTTTATGTCCATCACATCCTCTCTTTGCGTGAGCCTTGACAGTCTAATGAGCTCTGGGGCTAAATAGATCCTTGATTGTATTAGAGGCATTTTCTTATTATAGCGAAGGGTCTTCAGGCTACTTCAAAAAAGAAGGGTAATTTTCTAAAAGCTGCTCTCCAACTTCCACGTATCAGTTGGAGTTTAAAAGATGGCATGGTCAGATGTAAGCATCTGACTCGATTAGTGCTTCAATTGGATCGCGGCTTTAGGCTCAATATGGCCAATATCTCCAATTAGGGGATGGACTGCTTGGAAAATGACCTGCCATCAGGTTTGATTACTGGGAAGTCTAGGCTTCCTACTTATACGAGATTTTATTTTATTTGTTTTTTGATATCGCCAGATATTCAAAAGCACACAGAGACAAATATTAGTATTCCTCGCTTAGATTACTAAACCTAACAACCAGAGTTCAAAGATAACCAAGAATCCTAGTAGCCTCTTACATGGGCCTCTTGCCTGGAAGAGATGGATTTTGGTAACAACTGGCTTTTATATTTGACAGCGACTCCACTTTCAGTTGAGGACCTGAAAGTGACATCACATTGGTTGACGCTCTAGGAATTCACTTAATCTCTAGGGTAAGTACCATAGAGATTGAATGAATTCCTACAGATTTGCCTAAAATGGTGATGCCACTTCTAGGTCCTCACCCAGAAGCCATGTCAACACATCAAGTGATACCATTTCCATCCCCAGTTTTGCTCTGACTATCACATTGAGCGGTGGCGCGGGCTGGGACTGCTGGGGCATAGCTGACAGCATGGTAAACCTCGCTTATTCCGACGTAGGGGCACATCAAATTGCATCCTTCGATTGCAGCAGAGGTCCCTGAAACTTTAGAAAAGGAGTACGTTGGCTCATGTCTATGTTGTGCCAGCTATGTAGGTCAAACTGGCAACCTCCTGTTCAGATGCATTCTCCCACATTATGGAATGGCCTGCCTGAAGTTATCAGAAAGGCCCCTACATATCTCATGTCATAGAATGTGCAAAACAGAAATGTAGAGGAGCCCAGTCTCTTCTGTCTTCATAGCCCTTCCTGCACTGCTGTTTGATCAAATTGCTAGTTTTATGTTGTAAGTAACCTGCCTTGAATCTTAGTGAGAAAGCCAGGTTATAAATGAAGTTAACAATAATAATAACAATGAAGAATCTGGAGCCACCTTATTGCGAATGGAGCAATCAGTACCCTAAAACTGTTGATCCTATAACTGAAGAGGACTGACCCTGAGTCCCTCTTAGACGCCATCTTTACTTACTTGCTGGACTTGATAGACAACTGCCCAGAGTTCCTGAAAGGTTCGGGAGAACACCCTGAGGTTGCTAGATAATGGGCGGGATCCAACACTACCCTGTACTGACAGAAGAGGTAGAAAGGGTGATTTTGCCTCCTTTTTCCTTCCTTACTCCATCCAGCCTGTCAATCCAATGGCTATTAGTTGTTGTAGATTTTCCACATTGTCTGGCCGTGGTCTTGACATTGTAGGACCTGACATTTCGCCAGCAGCTGTGACTGGCATCCTCAGAGGTATAACACAGAAAGATGGAGTACTCTCTGTGTCAAGGTGAGAAGAAAAATGGTAGGCAGGTAATTTATATCTACTCAGGACGATGGGGGTCGGGCCGAGTCATTATCTTGTAGGCGTTCCCCAGGCTGTAACATGCTAATGGAGGAGCTTTCCTGAGGAGGTTCTTTTGCATATGGATTGGCTATTACTCCACTGGGCTCCCAAAGTCCCAAGGATCTACTTCCCCAGGTTGGAATGGACTGCTTGTTGGAGGAGAAAGCAGGGATGAGCTGCCAATGAAGGGCTGGAGAGGACCCGATCCCACTGTGCTTGCCTTTCAGTACTGAAAGTAGAGCTGACTCTCCGCACAGCAGAATTCTCCAGTCTAGATGCTTGAGAAACAGGTTCACACAGAAGCTTATTACTTAGAAAAGGGAGGAGCTCTTTGTTGTTCGAGAAGACCACGCCAGATCGGAAAGGCGGAGTAAAGGCTTTTAGCTGTCTACCTAGGCTAGGATGGAGAAAGACTGTACAAGGCCTGTCTGGCCCTCGTGGTGGACAAAGGGAGAATGAGAGAGAAGGTTACTGACCGGAAGGAAGGAAACCCTAAAGAACAGCATTCTGGGTAACAAAGGGACAGCTGCAGGAACGGAGAAGGGAAAGGTCAGGAAGCACCCTTATCTAGCCCTTGACTGACTCTCCCTTACCCTTCCCTGAGACTCCGATGTCTGCGCTGGCGTTAAGCTGTACTGCACAGCCCATGCCTTTCCACAAACGTGATTTCCCCATAGGCTGAATTCCATTTCCCAAAGAGGGCTCATAGATATTAGAAGTGCATTTAATGATTTTTACATAAGCTCTTTCTGAGCGTGGGGGTGTGGATGAAAACAAGGCTGCATTACCTGTCACAATGGTTGCACTTGAAGGGCTTTGCCCCTGTGTGTTTCCTGTAGTGCCGCGTGAGTTCGTCACTCCGTGCAAAACGCCACTCGCACCCTTCCCACGAACACTTGTAAGGCTTCTCACCTGCAGGAGAGATTAATGGAGTCAGTAGTGCCAAGCAAAGAACCGGGGGGCAACGGCCCAGTCCTCATTCCTGCCATCATCATGCAAGCGGTTACCCTGGCACCGTGACCGTGCCAAGGCATTCAGGCATGCTGAACTTAGAGGAGGTTTAAACTCCCGTTCTCCTCATATAACCCTTGGCCTAGAACTGATGCCAGTCCTCACAGGGAAAGTCCAAGACAAACTGCTCTCCCCAATGCAAAAGTCTAAGGCAGGAGGTCTCAAAGCGAAGTGACCCCAGAGATGAACGTGTTCCATATTCCCATTTGCAAATGCATCACAAGATTCTCAGCTCTCATTTACCCCTTCCTCATCTTTAGGAACGCAAAGACTCACAATGTTAGGGTTGCCATTCCCCTGGTTAGGGCAGGAAATCTCCCACCCCCCAGGTTCTGTTGCCTGCCACCACTCCAAGTGGAGGTGGAGAGGAAAGTTTTTAAAAGCAGCAATTTTGGCTGCGTTGTTACATCACTCCCGGGGAAAACCCAGAAGTGAGAGATGGTAGCTCTAGGAATTGAGAGAAACTCTATGGTTTTACCATAGAGATTCCTGCAATTCCTAGAGTGGCCTCGCATCACTTTCAGGCTGTTCCAGTTACTAACATAGGGATAAAGCTGACATTGTGTGCTCCCCCATATCTCCACCCCTCAATCCTCCTTCTGGTTGCCGGGCTTGGCCAGAGACCCCTAGGTAGCATGTGGATAATATTCAAACAAAATCTCTGACTTTAACAGACAGCTGAACAAGTGCTCTTCAGAGGGCATGGTTCTCTCTCTCTCAACACAAATTTACTCTTACACAAATGCATCCACATTTTCTTAAACAGAATTTGCAGCACTGGTGTTCTTTTGGCTTGCAGAATTGCAGAACTGGTGTTCCTTTGGCACAGAATTTTAAAGTAAAACATATACCCAATTTTATAAAGTGCTAAAATTTAGTTTTGTTATAGAGAGGCTTTGTTCCAATGCTACTTGTTTAAAGATATGCTTTAAAGCATGAGTGTGCCTGCCCTCCCGTCCCAAATCAAAATTCTGTGCCGAAAGAATTCAAGCACCAATATCTTGCACTAGTTTCCATTTCAGGTTCTTACACTGATGTCACACACACTCATTGGTTTACTGCACACACAAGGCTGAGTGCATCCAATGACCACTTGCATGTCTGTGATCACGGTAGGAACACACAAAGTACACAATTATGTGTTCAATCAAGCCAAAAATATATTAAAGTATCATTTAGCTAAAGCATTTTTTAAAAATAGATTCTTGCTTTCATGTACTGAGGGCAGAATGATGTGCTATATAGGAGACTCATGACTGAATCTCCTGAAACAACCCCCCCCCCCTCCTGATGAGATGCAGCAAAAGATTCAGGGATGCCAAACTGATTGTCCCCACCAGTCAACTCCTGAGATATTAGAAGGAGCAGGAAGAGTTGGTTTATATACCCCGTTTTTCTCTACATTAAGGAGTCTCGAAGTGGCTTACAATCACCTTCCCCTCCCCTCCCCTCAACAGGCACCTTGTGAGGCAGGTGGGGGTGAGAGAGTTCTGAGGGAACTGTGTCTGGCCCAAGGTCACCCAGCAGGCCTCATGTGTCTCAAAGCGGCTTACAATCTTCTTCCCTTCCTCTCCACAAAACAGGTCCCTTGTGAGGCAGGTGGGGGTGAGAGAGTTCTGAGGGAACTGTGTCTGGCCCAAGGTCACCCAGCAGGCCTCATGTGTCTCAAAGCGGCTTACAATCTCCTTCCCTCCCCCTCCCCACAACAGACACCTTGTGAGGCAGGTGGGGCTGAGAGAGTCCTGAGAGAACTGTGACTGGCCCAAGGTCACCCAGCAGGCCTCATGGGGAGGAGGAGTGGGGAATCAAACCTGGTTCTCCAGATCAGAGTCCACCCCTCTTAACTGCTACACCACGCTGGCTCTCAGCGATTAGTCTTAGTACTTTTGTCCCTCTGCAGGGCAGCTGCAGGAGGATTTTGATTGGTCAGAGCAGCCTGGGGAGAAAGGGTTAAACATCCTCTCCTCCCAGGACCACTCCTCTGAACAAGCCTGGCAGCTCCTTCTCTAACAAACACACCTGCAGTCTGTTAAAACGCACCCACACTGCAAGGGCAAATTGTACCTCTCCCGTGTAATCTGCACTTTGGCAGTGATTTTCATCAATCGTGCACTATGATTTATATCAAGTTCCGTTAAGCTGCCACCTGTAAGCTTGGCCCTTGATTAGACTGTAACACACCTACTATGTGGATTGATAAACATTACTGCAAACTGGGAGATCACTCTCTTCCTTCTGTCTAGAGCTGCCAACCTCCAGGTGGGATTCCAAAAACAACATCCGTGACAAAAATAACGAAGAAACAATAAAGATAAGTTGCAAAAACGTTTACTGTAGTAATTCCTGTAGAAAATGTTCTATTATCGCTCACACGCTAACGAATACTGCGCAATGAACAATTCGTTTCACAATATTTGCTTTATCTGATAACAGAATGGGTTCTGTTATTAGAGAGTCAACATGGAATGTTTTCTTCAAGGGTTGATAAGTAGTAATTGATAAGAATTGGGATTGCTACACGCTCAGATAAAGCAAATGTTGTGAAACGAATTGTTTACATTGTGCAGTATTCGTTAGTGTGTGAGCGATAATAGAAGAACATTTTCTGCAGGAATTAGTACAGTAAACGTTTTTGCAACTTATCTTTATTGTTTCTTTGTTATTTTTTGTCACGGATATTGTTTTTGGAATTCCACTTCCTCCCGTGATCTCTCATTTTTAACCTCCAGGTGGGGCCTGGATATTTCCTGGAATGACAGCTGGTCTCCAGACCACACAGATCAGTTGCCCTGGAGGAAATGGCAGCTTCGGAGGGTACACTGTATGGCAGGTGTCTCCAACACACTGCCCGTGGGCGCCATCGTGCCCACTGATACCTTTCCCGGTGCCCACCAAGTGTTTTTAGAAAGCAGGAAGGACCAAGTGGGACCTTGGCCTAGCAAGGCTTCTGTTGAGCCACTGCAGATTTTTTTTGCATTTTTTATATGTGCATGTGTGTGAGAGAGAGCGTGTGAGTGTGTGTGTGTACCTGGAAGTCATGGTGACCTCTGGGTGCACCTGGAAGCAGTGTCCCCTCTAAGCTGAGCTTTGTCATTGTAAGCCAGGAAGTCCTTGATCTGGCAAGATTCAGAGGAATACATGGCTCAGATACCAACAGAGAGCTCTTAATGACACCGGGAAATGTTATAAGCGAAAAGAAATTGCTTCAGTTTGAAGTCCTGAAACCATTTTAATTGCAGCTCAGCGTGCTTAGCTGGGTTTCATTTAGCAGCAGTGAACACGGCAGCCTCTAGTGACTGACCCCTACTGGGGGCCTGGAGGATATTCAGAGAGGTGGCTGAATAAAGCCTGTCCCCATCCTCCCGACGGCTGGTATTCCAAGGAGGTCTCCCATCCAAGTACTTGCCAGAGTCAACCCTGCTTAGCTTGTGAGATCGGATGAGATCGGGCTTGCCGGGGCTACCCAGGCCAGGGCGAGCCACTGCAGATTTGACTGGCTGTGCAGATTTTTTTGAAACGTCACTTTGGCATCAGCTGCCTGTGTGCCCTGCCCTTCACTCAAAGGGTGATTCCACACTAGACCTTTAAATCCTGGTTCAACCCTGTCCCCGAACTTACATTCTACACTACAAGCGAGTTCACCCCTATAATTATCTTGGGGCATTTTCTGTTTCCACATTACACTGAGGTCACCCCCGGTTTCGTCCCGCTCTTCTCCCGGGATAAAGGGATGCTGTTATAACCAGGGATAAATGCAAGATATTGTGTCCCGAGTTGAACTCGGATAAAACCAGGGATGAGATCCAAGTGTGGAAAGGAGCTACGTAACTGAAGGTAAGCTGTGGCAGCTGGCTGACTCCACGTCCCGCGGCAGTGGTTTTTGACAGCCATTTCGTGGCTGTGCCCACCACGCTCGGTCAGGATTCCAAATGTGCACACAGGCTCAGAAAGGTCAGGGACCCCTGCCCAGTGGCATCATATCCCCTCTCTGAGCCCCCTCCCCTTCCCTGACTGAGCCCGCCAGAGGCACCCCCCCCCCGAAATCTAAAGGACTTTCCCAAGCCAGAAATGATATCAAGCTGCCTGAATGGTGAAGTCAGTGGGTGATACCTTTTGTAGCGAACTGAATTTATGCGTTCAAACAAGCTGGGACCTGTGGGCAAGTTTTTTTCAGCTGCCACCGCCCAAATTCCCTCCCCTAGAAGATGAGACTGGTGCTGTCCTTACAAGGCTTCCAGAACAACCGGAAACTTCATCATCCTGGGATTAGCTTAAATGAATGCAAAGGAGTGTTTTCTTTCTCCTGCGTCTTACGACTGACCTGTTTGATGGCGTTTATTCTTAAATCATGATTTCCGGCATATTTTAAACTCCCATCCTTGAGGAAAGGTGGCACATAAGTGCATTAAGTGAAATAAAAGTATGAACTAAAAGCTTGAAGGGGGGAAAGGCATGCATTGGGAATGATGCACTTAACATATGCAGAAGCATCCAGGATTCAAGGTGCGGACAGGCCACATCTGGAGTATTGTGTGCAGTTCTGGAGGCCTCACTTCAGAAAGGATGTGGACAGAATGGAGTGGGTGCAGAGAAGAGTGACAAGGATGATCGGGGGCCTGGAGACCAAGCCCGATGAGGAAAGGCTGAGGGACTTTGGAATGTTCAGTCTGGAGAAGAGGAGGTTGAGGGGGGACAGGATTGCTCTCTTGAAGTATTTGGATGGCTGTCACTTAAAGGAGGGCAGGGAACTGTTGCTGTGGGCAGCAGAGGAGAGGACTCGCAATAATGGCTTTAAATTAAGGGCGGGAAGGTACCGGCTGGATCTTAGGGAAAACTTCTTTACAGTCAGAGTTGTGCAACAATGGGATCAGCTGCCTAGGGAGGTGGTGAGCGCCCCCTCT